TTTGCCAGTCCACCTGTGTGCTCACTGATTGAAGTGATTCTTTTCTTTTTCTTTCTTTTCTCTTTCCTTCCTTCCTCCCTCCTCTTCTCTCCCTTCTTCCCTCTTCTCTCCCTCCCTCCCTCCTCTTCTCTTCCTCCCTCCTCCCCCTTTCTTTCTTCCTCTCCTCCCCTCCCCTCCCTTCTCCTCTCCTCTCTTCTCCTCTTCTCTCCTTTCCTTTCCATCTCTCTCTTTCTCCCCTTCCTTCTTCCTTCCCTCCTAACCTGCCTCCCGCCCTCCCTTCTTTCCTCCTTCCCTCCTTTTCCTCCCTTTCCTCCCTCCCTCCTTTCCTCCCTCCTTTCCTTCCTTCCTTCCCTTAGACTGTGTGCATTAATATGGGTATGTATACATGTATGTATACATATATCTCCATATATGAATATATAGTCTTTTAAGAGGATGCATATCTTAAAAGCAAATCTGAGAGACTTAAAGGAAATTATATGGGCAAAGTTGCATTTATTTGAAGGCGTGGTATAATTACACATTCAGGAAGTGGTTAAAATCCCCGTGTCAGTGCCACAAGCTGCACAGGTAACACAATTCTAACTTAAGTAACAATCAGGCAGCCACATATAAAAATTATGCAGTAACTATTCTTTGATTAAATTTCAGTTTTCCAACCTTAGTCCTATAGTCATTTTCTACTGGATGCTGCTTTGTTGTGCAGGGCTGCCGTGGGCCCTGTGGGACGTCAGCAGCCTCACTGGCATCTACTTACGAGATGCCAGTAGCATCCCCCTGGGCCCGCAAGCTGTGGCAACTAAAAATGTCTTTAGACATTGCTACATTGTCTCCTGGGGGACAAAATTGCCCCTGCTGTGTTGCATGTTACCAAGATTTGAAATATTTCCTGTGGGAAAAATGGAAATAGTATGGAAATTGTTTAAATCTATTATGTATAAACCTCCACAAATAGGAATTTTTAAATCACTTGCCAGGAGACACTGCTAGATGCTGTAAGGATATGGTGATGAGTAAAATAGTTTCTGTTACATAGCAGTTCATATTGTAAAAAGATACAAGTATACTAGTCACTAAAATACAGTAAAGAATTTGATAAAAGTCATCTTGGCTCTAGTGCATGCAAATTCAAAGTGCTTATACAGAAAGTTGTGAAAAATAAGTAAAGCAACCAGTTGAGAACTGTGGAGAGCTGGAGACTTATGTCCCATTTAAAAAAGGAAGCACCAAGTGTTGTCCTATGGAATCTTCAGGTAATTTGCATGCTCAGAAATGCTGGGCTAGTGGGCAATTTAAAATGAAAAGCATCTGGGTGCCTGGGTGGCTCAGTGGGTTAAAGCCTCTGCCTCCGGCTCAGGTTATGGTCTCAGGGTCCTGGGATCGGGCCCCATATCGGGCTCTCTGCTCAGCGGGGAACCTGCTTCCCCCTCTCTATCTGCCTGCCTCTCTGCCTACTTGTGATCTCTCTCTCTCTGTCAAAATAAATAAATAAAATTTAAAAATAAAATAAAATGAAAAGCATCTAGTTCAGAGGATGTGTTCTATCTGGACTGTTGATTCATCTAGAAATTCGAGTCTAGTTTGAAAAATAGAATACATTTTCAAAATACCTTCTTCTTTCACCCTCTCCCTTCACCGCACACTCCATACCAAAAACCCAAAATGAAACATACATGTGATAGAAGAGAGGTTTGAGGAGGAAGATTGTTCTGTTTTGTCTGCCCTTGAAATGAGAAAACTCTAAAAGGCCTGTCACTCTATTGTCCCAGGCCAATGCTGCTTAAATACAGATTCTTGAGTACTGACATGATCAAGGAGAAGGGTGCTTTATGAAATTACTTGCACAAAGCACTCGGTCTGAAACCCGCCAGAACCCATAGGTCTGTATTCCTACAGCATGTCACCCTCCCACCCCTCTCACTGGCGCAGCTTCCTCTATCTTCATTGTTCCCTGTTCTGACGCCTTTGGACTCTAACACATGCTCCTACTTAGCCTTCCATCACAACTGGGCCATGAATACCCACTACTTGTTTTCTCCACCTACTGCTCACGCTCATCCCACTCTTGCTCTCTTTCTCCCAAACCAGCATCTGCCACCAACCTCCATCTCACAGAACAGAGGAAAGAGAACATACTAAATGCTCATGTTCGCTTTTGGGCTTCTGGGTTCCAAGAGGTCCAGTATTTGATAATTATCTGTTTTTGTGTCTGACACCACTCCAGACTGAGCTCGACCTCAGCATCGAAAACATAACAGGCATGCGTTGAGCATGCATTCTTCCAATATCTGTCCACAGAATGATTGGGTGTTTTCCGTACATTACATCATCTGGCATGCCAACAACACTTCAAAGAAGGCCTAAGTGCCCTCTTTCCACAGATCACTCATTTAGAGACAGTTAAGACGCTGCACCATGCTACTACCCAGACTGGGTATCCAAGGTTGTCTGTGACCCCCTTGGGCTATTTGGTGTTATTTCCTGCTGTATCTTCTTTTCCACCTTTCCTTCACCTTTCCACTCTCCCTCTTCTCACTTCAGCAGATATCCTTTATGTATGTATGTATGTATGTATGTACTACCATCCTCTCCCACATCGTCAGACTTGGTGTTTGAAACAGGGAATTGGGTTTTTCAAGCCGCCGGTATCATTTCTAGAACATCAATTTTCCACTTTCTTTCTGATCCCTGTTGAAGTCTAGTTATAAAATCATCTATGCTGTTGTCTCATGTTTCCCAGGCCCAAAGGCACTATGATTTTAGCATCTTGATTCATGTTTTCTTTCGTATCTTGTACTCAACAACTTAACGATATATAAAAATGGCCCTCCAGATTCCTCAAACTCTGTCTTTCACACTTTTTGCCTTAATAGAAAGGCACGTCCATCACTTTTCTCCTAGTAAAGAACTTTATCTCATTCAATCTCAACACAGGAACACTTGCGATTTAAAGATCTTATAATTCCTAGTATCTCTCAAATCACATTGCATAAACTAAAAATATACCTTCCAACATTATTGTTTGGCCATTTTTCTTAAAACTCTCTTGGCTTCTAAAATCAAGTGACACTTCATTTTTTTTTTAATACTTTTTCATTTGTCATGAGATTGAGGACTCTAAATCTATAAATAAAATAATATTAAACACACCAGAGGGGGATATATGCAAGAATTGGGATAAACCTAGCTTTCATGTAAATACTTATTCTGTAAAGCTTTAATTAATTTGTTTTACAGAGGTGTTAAACGAGTTTCTTACAGGTAAGGAACCAGAAATGCCCATTTCTCTAGATCTATAATAGCAGGGCACCCCTAGGGGGAGCTCCGTCTCACAAAATATAAGTGTGCATGCCCGACGGAAGCGATCCTTTCAGGGGTGTGGGCTCACAGAAGAACCTCAGCCCAAAAGAAAGAGGTTGCGTTAGAAACAGGTTACAAAACCTATTTAGGTTCAGAGCTTTTGGAGAATGTCCGCTATGATCCTAAGCCAGTCCTGTGTAGCCAGGTTTCGCAAAGCAGGCGCTGGAAGAAGAGGTGAGCCGCAGGCCCTGGACGGACTGCGCTCTGCCTTGGCTTTCCCTCCGCTGACTCGGCAGAAGTAGATGCAGTCTGCAGAACTGCCCTACTAGGAGCGTCCTCGTGACGGTGTGCAGAGCGTTAGGTTGAGTGGAACTGCGGACACAGGCCGCTGCGTATCCCTTTCCGCAGAGCAAAATTACCCGCTACTCTCCCCTGACTACAGGAGCCAAGAATCAGGCAATTAGCCTCTGAAAGGCTTGGCCATTGGCCTGGGAAAGGAGCCGCCGGTGATAGGAGTTAAGTACCACCGCACAGAAAGACGACTTGCAGGTATCCCGGTGCACACTCGGGCTTTCAAGGTCTGGGGTCCAGGTGATACTCGAGACCCTTTTATCCCCCACAAGAGTGACCCCCATGCCGTCGAGAAAAGATCCTTCCAGTTCACGCGCGGAGTTCGCTTTCGTCTCACCCTCGACCTTTGCCGTCGTTTGACGAAGGACTATTTGTTTTTCCGATGCCGTGAGAAGGGAAAGAGAGGACCCAGGGCGTCAAACATCCAACGTGTATTTAAAATTCTGCAGCTCCGGGGGGTAGGCAAGGCGCCTTTCCAGGCCAGGGAGAGGCGCGGCTCCCAGGCTGGGGAAGCCCACCGTGTCTCCCCGCGGGGGAGCTGCCCGGGCGCTGCCGCGGCCCCGGGACTCCGCGCCGTCGGCCGTAGCCCCGCCCTGCCCCGCCCCGCCGGCCCGTGCGGCCGCGCTCCCCGGGGCCCCGCTGGCGACCGAGAGAGCCGGGGCGCGCCGGGGGCGGTGTGCCTGCGGCCCGGCGTGCGCGTCGCGGGGGTTGGGGGTGGGGATGAACTGGAGTCACACGACTGGCTGTTTCCTTCCGAGTGCTCTTGGCCAGCAGTCCAGGAGGGGATGATCATGGAAACTTTTTTTTTTTTTTTTTTTTTTTTTTTTTTTTTGGCTAAAAGGATGAAAACTGAGTAAGTACATAGAACTTTGAACTTGACGCGCAATGAGACTAATACAAGCAGAACCCTAACAGTCACCGTGTCCCATCACACCCGCATTCCCTTTTGATGCTAAAAGCCGAGAATGCTTACGGGACAGTGGCCGCGTAAAAGTGGTGGAGGGGACGCCGCGGAGAAACGCGAAAGGCTGCAAGCCGGGCTACTCTGAGCCTGGAGGAGCCGTGAGGCACCGCGGAGGCAGCTAGCCGGCACCCCGCGGCCAGCGGGCGCTTTCCTTTTGGTCTGTTGCGCTCTTCAGTGCTGTTTCCAGACTCCAGATTTACTCTGGGGGTGTTTTTTGTTTTTTGTTTTTTTCTTTTTTTCTTTTTCCTGTGAAGTTTTTGCTGTGAGTTTAAGGATGTTTTGGAAATAAGGCATTACCGGAAGCAACAGTCTGGCAGCCTGGGGTACGCTCAGGTTGTTAGTTACAACTATTATTATTTGGATTTTTTGTTTGTTTGTTTTTTGTTTTGTTTTGTTTTGTTTAACCCAGACCAGCCACTTTTCACTGTCATCCATGGAAGGGATCTTATTAACCGCCTCAGACTTTGGGGACCTATGACTCTTTGGCATGAACCCTTCGGAAAGTTCTTCAGCGGGGATGGAGCGATCTTGATTTCAATTGTGGAAAGAGAAGGCTGATCTGTACTTTTCATGCTGACAAAAAATAGCTGCTATGACTTCTCCGGCAACGTGGACAGGGGCCAAGTGAAGCTGAACTGGTCATGGTCTGTCGTCCAGTGTTCCCTTGTCGCCGGCGATTTTGTCCCCGGCCCTTCTTGGTGGGCTTGGTGGTGGCAGTTTGTCTCTTCTACCAGACCCTGACCCTCCGAGGGACGAGGAAGCTCACAGCCGCTGTCCCTGGGGCTGCCACGAACACACCCCCCGAAACCCGGGCAAGCAGATGCAAGAAGGGATTCTCCCCCGACAGTCAGTGCTTCCTTCCCTCCGGTAATGCCCAGGATATCAGAAAGGTAAGATGGTCACAAGCTTAGCCTTGACGTTTTCTGTAAAGATAGCAGTCTGCCTCTCTCTGTCCTTTCTGTAAAACTAAAATTAACTTCCATGAGGTCTGAAAGGGATCCAGAGTACACAACGGCCCAGAGAGTGACCTTATGACAGTGAGACACATGCTAGCTTCAGCTTCCTATATTTACTTCCAGAAAGTCCTGGCCATTATTCTGTCTCTTAGAATTTCACTTCCCCTTCAGCTGAATGAACTAGACAATTGGGAGTTGGTGGGAGTATATGAATTCTTTATAAAGTTTTAGGATTCTGAGAGAGATGAGGATTTACAGTTCAGGAACGTAAATCAAAGACTCATAAAATTTGATCAACATTGAGTGTTTCCTTAAGGTAATCAGTTTGAGTGCCCAGACCATTCCAAACTCAAAGATATTCCAGAATGCCATTTTATAATTGATTAAATCGATTTTTCATTGGTGAGCAGATTTTTAAGGCAAACGTATTTATTTCTGAACCATTTAAAGGAATAGTATAATGTTTCCTCAAAAGAATTGACACCAGGCATTTTATTGTTTGTAGAATTGGGAATTATTGGTTATTCTATACTTAAACTGTTCTAATTAACTTTACTAATTGTTGTTGAGTGTCAGAAAAAAACACAAAACACGTAACTCCCCACACACTAGATTTCTGTTTTAATATACCACTCTGCTCATGCCTGTCAGTGAGAGGATGACCTTTAAAATAATCCAGTCTAAAAAAGAAAAAGGAAAACAAAAAACACACATGCAGAAATTCATGGCAGCAAAGCCACTGATTGCAGTGCTCCAGCAAGAGGTATAGCAAGATAATTTAGGAAGCTGTAGGTACTATCTCATACCTGCTGTAGATTTGGGTAGATCCTATGACTGTGGTTATGTTTGGAGCAGAATTTCCTATTGAAATTTTAATGCCTCCATCCTACTACCATCTTGTTTCAAGAACTCCTTTATCTATTTCCTTTCAGACTCATAACCCTGTAAGACAGGTAGGGTGCACACGCTCGCCATCGTTGCACAGATAAGGTGGCTGTCAGAGATGTGTAGGCAAACCACAGGGCGAGCAGGATGTCCTGGTACACCCACCTGGTTCCTACCACAGTACTGGGGCTGAAATCAAAGTTAAGGTCAAGGCTCTGATAGCAATTGGTGAAAGCATAACTGTAAGAACTTATTGAAATATGATATAATAGGTTAGAACAAAAAAATTTTTTTAAACTTTTGAGTGACTTAGTTTATCAACAATGTCAACAAACATGACAAAGAATAGCAGATAATATAACTAGAAACACTCCCAGATGAAACTCTAACTACGAGTGTGAGTCAGTTATTGACTGTTTTAACATCACTGAAGAATCTGTATTTTTTCATTTGAACTAGCATTAATTTTTATTTGCATTTTTAATACATCAAATTTCTAATGGGTGTGAACTGTGACTTGTAAAGTCACTTCTTGTTGTTTTTCCCCCCAATATTAATAAATAGTTTCTTTAAAAATACTTGAAATGGTTTTGCTCTTTTTTTTTAGATGGTTTTGCTCTTTAAGTAAAGAGCAAAAATTGGTGCTAAGAATTTTCAACAAAAAGGTTTTTATTCATTATTATAGCTCTTCTTATTCCCTGCTTGACTTCATGTGACTCCTGCTTTTGCCTGTAACACTGGCATATGTTAACTGTTATTCATAGGCTGTCACAGAAAATTCCATTTCAGCTTTGGATCTCCAGCTACTTATAAACCATCTGAAACTTATTGGCTGCTTGTGTAAAGCATTCACTCTAGAATTTTCCTCACACACAAAAGCCAGTCACATGACTTTTCCCCCCAGTTATTCACAATCTTAAATATTTCAATCATAAACAAGATTCTCAATTCACAATTATAATTCATAAGCCCATGGATATAAAAGTAAATTTCCAAACATTTGCCATGTATCTCTATTTTTAACTGACTTGTGTCAGCCATTGGTTTAGAGCCAGTTTTTATTAGAGATAGAAAGGAAACTAGAAAGAATCATGTGGAAGTTAGTGAAAACCAGATATAACAGTTCTCCTTGTAATACATGTTCAAAAAAAATCAAATAATAATCCAGCTTTAGAGAGTAAACATTCTGTAAGATCGCTAAAGTGAAGAAACAGATGTCTTTGGGATCAACGTATGTGGATCATCCTCAAAAAGAGCGACCTTTTGAAGTTCATTCAAGAAAAATCACTGATGGGTGCTTGTGTAGATTTTCCTCAAGACCTAAAATTAGCTTTTATAGAAGAAGCGTTGTTTCTGTCTAGAAATTTTAGGTTTGGGTATGACTTTTATTTACAGACCAAAATGTTCATTTTTCTAGGGCTTTCCCTTGCTGATACCCACCCATTTTAAAGTGATTTTTAAAGTTACTTAAAATAACTGATTTTGACCTAAGGTTCATGGATTCCAGGAAGTATTTGGATTTATAAGATGACTACCAAACAGACATTTCACACAAAGTATTGTACATATGCATGTGTGTACATTTGTCTGAGAAAAATCCCAATGCCCTGCAAGTATTCAGACCAAAGGAAATACTAAGAAACAAACAAAATGCTTAAAAAGCAATGCATTTAAACTTTCACTGTTCTTCCAGGAAGTATAAGTTGGATTTGGATTTATAAATCTGAAAAAGGAAAAAAAAAATCTTAATGGAAGAATCCACGCAAGGACATTTGGAAAAGTGTTACATTCAGATAAACATTCAGAAACTAAAATACACTCACAGAGACTTTCTTGGATCATACTTTTCATACTTTCGTGAATAAGCAGTAACTATTCCCCAGTGGCTTTGGTTGTGGTTCTTTCTTTCTTTTTTTTTTTTTTTTAAAGATTTTATTTATTTATTTGACAGACAAAGATCACAAGTAGGCAGAGAAGCAGACAGATAGAGAGAGGTGGAAGCAGGCTCCCTGCAGAGCACAGAGCCCGATGTGGGGCTCGATCCCACA